GGCTGCGGGCGGCCTGGCGACCGCGCAGCCCTCCGCGAGGGGGGAGCTGGCCCTTTTCCCTGCATTGTTAAGCCTCCCTGTTAGAACTGGGGCTCCGAAGCTTCATGGCTTTTGTCTCCCGTTGTTTTGCCGAAGAAAAGCAAAACATTGGCTTTTGAATACGTGCGAAGAATAAAGTTCTGTCCAAATTTCACTCGGCAGTTAAGCGATAGTAGCTCCTTTCACTGCTTTGCCTCATCTTGTGTGCCGAGAGTCATACTGTCAAATGGGAAGAGGAATACTGATTTATTGTGATATTGTGAGGTGAAGCTGCAATGCACTGTGTAACCGCTAGCTGTTATTTATGTTTACTGTTCTCTCCTGGTGCAGCCACCAATGACATGTAAAAAAATTAATTACGGTTGTAAATCCTTCCATCAATAATCGCCCTGTCCGAAAAGTCTGCAGAAACCCAGTCAGCAGATCTTGCTGTGGCCGTGCAGAGCAGATGCGATGGTGTAAAAAAACGTAACGGAAAAGCTGGCTTTTTCTTCAGGAGGCACAAAAATGGACAAAGACGGGCCCCTGGAGATGGCGGTGACGGTCGCCAGCCTCTGTCACTGCTGCGTTTGCAATTAGCCCTCCATCAGTCTGGAAGAGCTACTGGGGGAGCGAGGAGGGAGGCCGCGGGGCCTCAATTTAACGGGTACAAGTAGAGCAGGAGCCCGAAGGGACGCCTGCTCCGGCGGCCTCGTGCCCGGGCTCGGGGCTCGGTCTGGCTCACCCCTGCGCCTCCCTCCCACGCCACGGCATAGAATCACAGAATCATAGAATCATTAAGGTTGGAAGAGACCTCCAAGATCATCGAGTCCAACCGTCAACACAACACCACCATGCCCACTAAACCATGTCCCTCAGCGCCTCATCTACCCGTCTTTTAAATGCCTCCAGGGATGGTGACTCAACCACTTCCCTGGGCAGCCTGTTCCAATGTTTAACTACTCTTTCAGTAAAGAAATTTTTCCTCACGTCCAATCTAAACCTCCCCTGGCGCAACTTGAGGCCGTTTCCTCTCGTCCTTTCGCTTGTTACTTGGGAGAAGAGACCGACCCCCACCTCGCTACAGCCTCCTTTCAGGTAGTTGTAGAGAGCGATGAGGTCTCCCCTCAGCCTCCTCTTCTCCAGGCTGAACAACCCCAGCTCCCTCAGCCGCTCCTCATCAGACTTGTTCTCCAGACCCCTCACCAGCCTCGTTGCCCTTCTCTGGACACGTTCCAACATCTTCGTAGGACCAGACAGTTCAGGGCGTCAGGACGCGCTGCGCCGCATCCCTAGCGAGCACCGTGCTCGCTTCTAATGTGACTTCCCGGAGTACAGCACAAAGGCTGTCGGGCTGATGGCGTCTGCCAGGTTCACTGTGTTCGTTTACGCTCGGCGGTGTCGTCCGCTTCCAGCTGGGTGCAAAATTTTGGTTTCACTACCGTTTACGTACACAGGTAACATCAGAAGGTTTTCAGTAAGAGTTTAGTATTAATGCATTTGAGGTCACAGAGGAATTTATTACTAAGCAACTTCTTAATTGTCAAAAATCTCTTTCTTTCCAGGATTTTTTTCCCCCTATTATTCATGGAAAAAAATGGTGTTGTGAATCCTTGTATGAAAGTGGAGCAGAGTAGGGATAAAATGCCATTCGCGTGATTCAGACAGAATTCTGGTTGACATCAGTGAAAGTAAGAGAGTAGACTTTGGCCCTAGAGATATTATTTTGCATAATGTTCATTTAAGGTGGTGTGGTGTTTTTTTTTCTCAAGGCCACAGCTTAGTTACATGAAGCGGTTTTGCCTGCAAGTTTAGCACCTTGCCCCGTGATCTGTCTAGCTCACCTAAAGGGAACAGGGTGTGCTCTGGTCGCTGCATGGGTGGGAGAGTTTATGTGAAACTGCAGGTACTGAAGGAGATGGAGTAGGTGATGGTGCTGCTGAGTGAAAAGCAAATAATTGCTGTCATTTAATATTAGACCTTCATACCCTTTCACATGTCCACGTTAAATAAAATTAATATTTTTCTGAGGCCAGACAAAAGAATTGCTAGAGCCATGAATCTTCTTGTCTTTATTAAAGTCCAGCTGTTAGCCTGTCCCTCACAAATAAGCTGCAGGAGCTGGGAATACTGTGGAATTGAGAAAAACATGACTGGGACTGTGAAGACACTCTCGTGTGAAAAAGCTTCACGGTCCTTTGTCGCTCACTCTGTTTATCCCTCTAGAGTCATCATTTTGCTCCCTTTTTTTCATGTAGGGCCAGGGGAAAAGGCTGTACTCGGACTGTAAATTAGAATTTGTTTTTATTAACTACCTAAGGTCCTGGTGCTGAGCTCAGGAAGAAGCGAGCGTGCATTGCTGACTCAGGTGGGCTTTGTTGTGGACAGTCAGGGAAAACCCCGGCTGAGGTAGTTTAGCTGAAACTTCAGAATGAAATGAATCGTGATTGCCACTTCATTGTTGTCGCTGAATAGGTACATGGTGATGAGGTTTAGAAACGTGTTAGCTGCGCACACATGAACAGTTGCAATCCCATGCTCGATGTAGCCTGACTTCTCATGTGCATGCTGGAACCAAATGCTTGCCACTTGGGCACACGTGCTTCTGCAAGTGTGAGTCCCTGTTTTGAAGTATGTGTACATTTTTCTTTGTTTTTAAATTCATTTTGGCTCAGGACACGATTACAGTTATTTTGCTACAAACCCTCATGTATGTAATCTTCTTCTAGTGAGATTACTGTATTTAAATTATAGTCCTGTTACAAGCCTCTCCTGCAAAACATATCTTGTGGTGCGGTGTACACGGTATCTCCTGAGAACAGCCTCCTAGAAAATATGCATGTTTGTAGAACTGAGTGAAATAACGGTGGAGGAATTATAGCCACAGATAATACAGAGATCAGGAACTGTGGTATGAGCTGCTTCTTGCAAATTTATACTTTAGGTAAA